ATTGGTGAGCCTCAAAAACAGGAAGGCCAGATTAGAGTTTGCCAGACAACATCTAAAAAAGCCTTCACAGTTCTGGAACAACATCCTATGGACAGATGAGACCGAGATCAACTTGTACCAGAGTGATGGGAAGAGAAGAGTATGGAGAAGGAAAGGAACTGCTCATGATCCTAAGCATACCACCTCATCAGTGAAGCATGGTGGTGGTAGTGTCATGGCGTGGGCATGTATGGCTGCCAATGGAACTGGTTCTCTTGTATTTATTGATGATGTGACTGCTGACAAAAGCAGCCGGATGAATTCTGAAGTGTTTCGGGAATAATATCTGCTCATATTCAGCCAAATGCTTGACCAAACAGTATAATGTTATCATAGTAACATTGTACTACTTTGGACTATATATATATATATTTTTTTTTTACGTTCAGCCAAGAACTCATTGGACGACGCCAAGTCAATCACCTGACCTGAATCCGATTGAGCATGAATTTCACTTGCTGAAGACAAAACTGAAGGGAAAATGCCCCAAGAACAAGCAGGAACTGAAGACAGTTGCAGTAGAGGCCTGGCAGAGCATCACCAGGGATGAAACCCAGCGTCTGGTGATGTCTATGTGTTCCAGACTTCAGGCTGTAATTGACTGCAAAGGATTTGCAACCAAGTATTAAAAAGTGAAAGTTTGATTTATGATTATTATTCTGTCCCATTACTTTTGGTCCCTTAACAAGTGGGAGGCACATAGGCAAACTGTTGTAATTCCTACACCGTTCACCTGATTTGGATGTAAATACCCTCAAATTAAAGCTGACAGTCTGCAGTTAAAGCACATCTTGTTTGATTCATTTCAAATCCATTGTGGTGGAGTATAGAGCCAAAAATGTTAGAATTGTGTCGATGTCCCAATAATTATGGACCTGACTGTAAGTCCCATGTATTGGGATTTTTTTTAGCAGACATGCAGCAGAATACATTTTGTCATAAATTTATGCCGAAATTTGATTTTTTAAATATTTTTACTGGACATGTTTAATAAAAAGACAAAAATGTTTTATTTTCAAAATTGTCAGGTTTTTTTGTTTATACCGCAAAAAATAAAAATACCACCAAAAGAAAGATCTATTTGTGGGAAAAAAAGAGCATAAATTTCATTTGGGTGCAGCATTGAATGGACCGCGCAATTGTCAGTTAAACGCAGCGCCGTATCTCAAAAAATGGCCTGGTCAAGAAGTGGGTGAACTCCTCAGGAGGGCAAGTGGTTAAATTAAAATTTCTGGCATGCACATCTTGTAGCCAAATACAATCCAGGGGCAAAAAAAAACAAAAGGTGTGTAAAGTCTGCAGTTTGTTGTCTTTAGAAAGCAGCCACAGCCTGATTTAGAAAGATTGTTCCCTGCCAGCATGCTACAAAGAAGCACCCTTGTTCTCTGTGTGGAAGCAGTGGTCTCTCTGCAGAGGTGCAACGCGTCCTGCTGAGTCTGAGATAGCTGTCTCCAACCAACAGAGAGTAAGAGCTTTGCTAATCACAGAGAGATAAAGTGCATACCAATCCAGATGCTCTTCAGACTAGTGTTCTCAGCCATTCTCCACATGGCTAGTTTATCATTTTAAACCCTCTCCATGTGGATGAGGCTTTAGATCCACTCCACTGATTAAATAAGTGCTCCAAGTAACAGAGATCTCGACAAGCAGCGCGTACAGCCTGGTGTGATGTGACTCAGTAAGATATGACACACATACGTGACATTGGGATGTATGAATATAGGCACCCGTTATGTTGTCTTATGATTAATAGCACGCCTGATTCATAGAGCCATGTGATTTTTGTTTAACAAGAACATGGGAAGTGGGTGGCTGTCAAAGCAGAAAGGTGATATGTTGTCACCTTTTTTTTTTCATCTTTTATGTAAAGAAATAATAATTATGTTAAAGGGGCAGCACAGTGGCTAAGTGGTTAGCACTTCAACCTGGCAGCACTAGGATCATTGGTTTTCGAATCCCAACCACAGCACCACCTGCCTGGGGCTTGCAGGTTCTCCCTGGGTTTCCTCCGGGTGCTCCATTCCAAAGACATGCTGGTCGGTTAACCGCATGCCGCCCAGCCACTGTAGATATACGGCGGCAGGGCGGCACTTTAAAACGTGTGTTTTGTAAACAAATAGGGGGCGCGCACGAGGCGCACGAGGCGCACCGCCGCCCTATCTGTGCCGCAGATGTGAGCCGCCGGGTCACAGCCAGTCCTTAGCGGCTGTTTCCCGGCGATCGGCGGCAAACAGTGACAGACAGCACAGCCGTAGTAGCTGTGCTGTCTGTCACTTACCTGTCAGCTCGAGGATGAGCTGATCGAGAAAGAACAGTTTCTCTTTCTCGATCAGCCTTGTCCCGCCCATTACACACACCCCGCCCCCTAGTAAAACACTCCCCTCACTCCTATAACCCTTCCCTGCAAAATAAAGTTAACCTCTTCCTCCTCGGTGCCATTAGTACAGTGTCAGTGTTTTTTTTTTTTGCACTGATCACTGTATTAATGTTTTTGGGGATGTCAGTGACCCCAAGTCAGTACCCCCCAATGTCAGAATGTCCGCCGCAGTCCTGCCATAAGTCGCTGGTTGCTGCCATAAGTCGCTGATCGCCGCCATTATTAGTATAAAAAAAACCTAAAAATCCCAGTATCTTTCCCGCCATTTGTAAACGCTATAACTTTCACGTAAAACAATTAATTTACACGTATTGGGGTTTTTTTTTTTAGCAAAGACATGTCACAGAATACATTTTGGCAGAAATTTATGACTAAATTTGATTTTTGCATTTTTTTTTTACTGGACATGTTTTATAGCAAAAAGTCCAAAATATTGTTTTTTTTTCCTCAAAATTGTCAGCCATTTTTTTAAAAAATAAAAACCGCACAGGCGATCAAATACCACCGAAAGAAAGCTCAATTTGTGGGGAAAAAAAGGATGTAAATTTCATTTATGTACCATATTGCATGACCCGCGCAATTGTCCGTTAAACTAGCGCAGCGCTGTATAGCAGAAAAAATGGCGTAAATTGCAGTATTTATACCATAGTTTGTAGACGCTATAACTTCCACACAAAGCAATCAATATACACTTATTGGGATTTTTTTTTACCAAAAACATGGAGCAGAATACATTTTGGCCTAAATTTATAACCAACTTTGAGTTTACTATATATTTTTTATAGCTGAAAGTAAAAAAATATTGTTTTTCTTCAAAATGTTTGGCCTTTTTTTGTTTATAGCGTGAAAAATAAAAAGCGCACAGATGATCAAATACCACCGAAAGAAAGCTCTATTTGTGTGAAAAAAAGGACGTAAATTTTGTTTTGGGTGCAGCATTGCATGACCGCGCAATTATCAGTTGAATTAGTGCAGCGCCGAGTAGCAAAAAGAGGCCTGGTCATTAAGGGGGGTAAATCCTCTGGAGCTCAAGTGGTTAAATGGATCTTGTCTAAACTGGCTGCTGTATGCATGAATGTGAGTGAGTTAGGGGCCTTAGATTGTAAGCTCCTCGCAGGCAGGGACTGATGTGAATGTACAATACAGTAGTATATACGTAAAGTGCAGCGTAAATTAACAGCACTATACACAGGGGCGTATTTACCACAAGGCAAACAAGGCACTTGCCTAGGGCAGCATTTTTCAGGGGGGCAGCACCTCCCCCCAGAAGAAGGGATGGAAAAAGGGACATGGGAACCAAGTGGGATCCGAGAGAGGCTGCGGGTTGCTTGATGGTGTATTTAGAGCTTGACTCTCATCAGAAATGTCCGGAGCTGTGAAGATGGGTGTCTTTCTCTCTATCGCTGTGGAGGGGGGTAGTGGAAGGCTCTCCCAGGTGGGCGGCAGGGGAGTTGTTGGTCAATGTCAGGCTCTCTCCACAGGAGGGGGAAAGGGGGGTGGTGTTGGTCGTGTCCATGGGGGCAGATAATTTTTGTGTTGCCTAGGGCAGCACAAAACCTAAATACACCACTGACTATACAAGGACCTGTAATTATAATAAAGGCCAAATGCAACCAAAATTTTCTTTTATTGGGTGGATGCCTGTGGGCTACTCTTACCAAATGAGGATTCTCTTGGTGAGAATTTCCTATCCTCTGGAACTATAATTATTATTATTATACAGGATTTATATAGCGCCAACAGTATGCGCAGCGATTTACAATATAAAGGGAGACAGTAGAGTTACAATACAATAAAAACAAGCAGAATAAGAGGGCCCTGCTCATAAGAGCTTAAAATCATAAGGACTTATAGATTGAGGTAGAGAGTTCCAGAGGATGGGAGAGGCTCTGGTGAAGTTCTGGAGACGAGCATGGAAAGAGGAGACAAGGGAGCTAGAGAGGAGATTGTGAGAGGAGCAGAGAGCGCTCTACTTCAGTCTATCCGGCTATCCTCTACTCTGGCTGCCTTTAGGCGATCCCTCATGCACACTGAACATTTTTACAGCTAATGTTTTTGTCGGCAGACGTTTTTATCTACAGCCAGTAAACTTCCCAGCATGTTATCCCCTGTGTCCAAGCACACATAGGCTTTTATGAGCGTTTTTTGTCAGCAGTGTTTTCAGGCTGTAAGAAAAACAGAACTACAGCGTTTGAAGAAGAGTTTTTCAGCTGTACAAACGCTCTAACACTGAAAACGCAGCTGTCCAGCGTTTATGAGCATTTTTGAGACTCAAGCTTTTTTTTAATGCAATATTTTGGACACTGATGCTTTTCTTCAGTAAATTCCTACATTTCCCAGTGTGCTTTGTTACTTTCATTGTCTGACCTGTGCTGTGTGCAAACAGGAACATTTCCCAATGTCCTTAGCTGCCTCATTGTCTCAGCTGACTGAACTGTGTGCAAACAGGAAATTCCTTTTATGGACATATGAAGGATACACAACGGGATATCAAAGGATGGGTCCAGAATTGTGAGTGGTGGCTGAATCTCTCTTCCAGCTGTCTCTGTCTCCTCACCAGGGGCAGATTGACAACTCATGGGGTCCCCGGGCAATAGGGGATCATGGGGCCCCTGTGTCCTTGCCCAAACTCAAAAAAGCCTATGAAAAAGGTACCATGGGGCATCTCATGGGGCCCCCTACTGACCCCGGGCCCTCGGGCAGTGCCGAGTTTCCAAATGGTCAGTCCACCCCCTGCTCCTCACCATCCTTAACAAAATCAGTAGCATAGCTTCATCAATTTTCTGGATTACAGGATCCATAATGGACTCAGCAAGAGAGAGAAAGATGGTTCCTGAACAACACAGTGCTCTCTCTGCTCTGAAAATGGCAACTAAACAATACACTGACTATTCAGAGATGTGTAGCACTGCCCCCTTAGGAGTTGCTGGAGACTTGGGTCCCCCTATGGTCCTGCACAGCCAGACAGCACACATTTTTCACAGACTTGCATTCCGAAGACAGTAAACAGTCCTTGAGCTTGTTTTTTTTTTGTTTTATTAGGGGTATTGAACATGGATGGGGCTGAGGGGTGTATAGGATGCCCAATGGAACTACAACTCCTTAATAATTATGCACAAGTCTCTATACAGAAAAATAGGGGTTCTTTCTGGAGAGCTCTCCAGCCTCTCTTGATATACCACCCCAGACCCCAGATGAATTCTCTCCTCATCCAGCTGTATTGAATGAATCCCTGGGCAAGGGGACCCAGAATCTGACTCTGTAAATCAACAGTCCCAGATGGGGACTAGTCAGGTTTCCCACCCAAATGCCCTCTCCCCTTATCCAGCCCAAGGGGTGTAAGAGTACTCACTATTCCTCTCCTGTGAGCTTGTTGGGTTGGTGGCTGCCTTCAGGCCTTCTGCTGGTCTGGCTTCTTCCCCGCTGCACAGGTGGTCCTCTCTCAGGGCACTCCTGAGGTTGAGCGATCCTCTTTTCCAGCAACTCTGCCTGTTGGTTGATCTCTTCCCACTGGGCCCCCTCCCATGCTCCTACATCTCAGCCTCTCCCTTCATCTTCCACCCGAACTCTCCTGCTGCTGAGCATGCTCAGTCACACTTAAAGGCTGCCCTGGCCCCATGCCAAGCCTCCTGCTTGGGGATTGGCCAGAGTCCTCTAAGGGTGCAGGCCAGCCCCTCCTCACCCTCACCCACTGCTTCTAGAATCTTCTCCAAGTTCCTAGGGCAGGGAGAGGGATCAAGGAACTGATCTGCAGAACCCTCAGCCCTGACCCCCTGTCTCACGCCCAGGCTGCTACTCAGCTTTTCTATCTAAAAATTGATAACTAGCTCCTCCTTGCTATCTAGAGGGGTGCTACAGATGCATTGTGGGAAAGTGAGAGTTAACTAGCAGAGAAGTGTTTTCTTGCTAAAAAAAAACACTAACACGGCAAAAGGCTAAAAACAGCTAATGAAAAAAAGCAGCAAAATGCTGAAAACTTGTGTTTTTAACGTGACAATGCTACTGATGTTTTTATAATGTCCAGTGTGCATGAGGCCTTAAAATCAGTCTGACTTGGCCTTTTGAGATGACAACCATGCTGATGGGGAGGAATCTTGTGCAGGCAAGGATGTGTGTTAGTGGTCAGACTGAGCCCTGTATTCCTGTGCCCCCCTCCGAATCCTAGGCCCATAGTCTACATGTACAGTGTGTTTCAAAAAGAATGACCCGATTTCATATAGTTGTATTTAATAATGAAGATGTGTTACAGTTACATAACAAATTACAAACTATTAAGTAAGTCCTCAAGGTTCACCCACCACGTTATAAATGCTCTGTGGGCTCTCCACCTGCTGTACGGATAACATCAAGACGAAAGCTGAGAGTGTCTTCTTCCACAGAAGTTACTGAAGATTTACATATCGCCATAAGAGAAGGTCACAGGGTATAAAGTCTGGAGATCTTTGAGGCCAAGAGCGTAGTGACAAGTCTTGGGGTTCCGTACGACCTATTCAACGTTGAGGCAATATTTCATTTAGAAACAGACAAACGTGCGCCAATGTGGTGGTGCTCCATCTTGCTGAAAAATGAAATCTTCAAAGTCTTCATTAAAGTGGTAGTAAATCGCGGAGGAAGAAGCCCTCCAGTGGTGCACTGTCACCGCTGACAGGGCTTCCATCGTTACCTGGTCTTCCTTCCAGGTTCATGGACTACAGCAGTTTGAATGGCCGAGTCGCGATGACGTCACTCCCATGCATGCACGTGGGAGACACGGGCTATGGCACAGTGCTCTTAAGGAACGGCACATGTGCTGACTGCCAAAAAGAGAGAATGTCTCCTAAACTGTGCACGTTCAGGAGATATTCATTTTACCTACAGGCAGGGGTGGATTGACCATTGGGGAACTCGGGCACTGCCCGTGGCCCCGGGGTCAGTAGGCGGCCCCATGAGATGTCCCTGGTACCTTTCATAGGCTTTTTTGGATATAGTTTGAGTGTGGGCGAGGACACAGGGGCCCCATGATCCCCTATTGCCCGGGGGCCCCATGAGTTGTCAGTCTGCCCCTGCCTACAGGTAAGCAGTATTATAAGCTTACCTGTAGGTGAAAATCACATAATGGACCTTACTACCGCTTTTAGCCATGGTTCACAATGGATGGGACTTGGCATGCAATTTGCATGCCCTGCGACTTGCAAATTGCATGCCAAGTTGCACCCTACTGTCCGCAATTGGAACGGTCATATCAGTGCGGTTCTGACTTGGTCGGAGCCGCACCGATATCAAAAGTAGTACATGCACTACTTTTGGTGCGATTTGCATAGATATCTGTTTCAGATATCTTGCAAATCGCACCTGAAATCAGCAGGTCCCCCAACTTTGAAATCACGCGACTTCACTGAAAGTCGCACGATTTCAAAGTCGGGCTTGATGTGAACGGAGGGTAAGTTGTGGGAAAAGCCAGTTGTTTAGAATTTAAAGATAGAAATGTCCTGAAACCATTTTTTCCCTCAAAAAAGAAAGGGCCATAAATCTTTGCAAACAAACCACACAAAACATTAATTTTTGGTGAATCTTGCTCATCAATGGCGTATTTTGGCTTTGTGCTGTCCTATGCAAGACTCAAATTGGGCCCCTCCCCCATATAAATTGGAGCCAATGGTGGTAGAGTGATGGATCGGGGAAAACAGTGTAAGGTTTTCCATGATCACAAACTTGGGGTAGGACAATGTGGCTGTCCAGGGCCCCTGGGGGACTTGTACTACCATGGCATCCAGGAACTAAAGTACAAACAGTGCAGACAAGTCCCAGCATGAACCCCTCAGAGCTGAGGACGTGACCCCCCCAATCTCCAAGTAGTGAAGGACTACAAGTACCAGCATGAACCCCTGAGATCTAAGGATGTGACCCCTCCCAAAATTGACAAACTGCAAGTCCCAGCATGAACCCCTCAGAGGTGAGGATATGACACTCCCCCAACTAGTGAAGGACTACAAGTCCCAGCGTGAACCCCTGAGATCTAAGGATGCATCCCCCCCCCAAGGAAAATACCTCCCTAGGCAATTGCTTTGTTTGCCTCTCAGTAGATACGCCCCTGTTGCCCATGCTGTACAAGTTCGTGTGGCTTCTCAAGCCCCCATATGGGAACATTGTGATGCAAAACCTTACCACTTAGATGAATCGTTGCTTCACCACCAAAAATCAACCACAGTAAGAATCTGTTGTCCTCCATGTCGTCTAAAAGCATATGACAGAAATTTCAACATTTTCTTCCCAATGTGCATGTGTAGGCCGAGTGGTTCTGCAACTTACTGGGACCTATGACATGTCCCTGAAGGTCATGGGGGGGGGAGACTTTCACTACGCTCGCCTAGGCGGAAGCAGAAGTAGGCACCTGCTAAAGCCACTTCCCCCCCAAAAAAAACAAACCTCCAAAAGTTATTATTATACAGTATTTATATAGCGCCAACAATTTGCAAAATGAAGGCAGACATTACAGTTACAATACAATTTGGTACAAGAGGAAACAGAGGGCCCGGCTCATAGAGCTTACAATCTAGGAGGAAGGGTTGAGTGATACAAAAGGTAATAGCTGTGGGGGGGATGAGCTGATGGAGGAAATAAATGGCAGTTTACTAGGTGGAAGCAGGATAGACTTCTTTAAAGAGAAGACTGCACTGATGGGGCACTAATGGGGCCACTGATGAGGCTGCACTGATGGGGCACTGAATAGACTGCACTGATGGCGCCACTGACTAGGTTGCACTGATGGGGCATGGATGAGGCTGTACTTATGGGGCACTGATGAGGCTGCACTGATAGAGCACTGAGTAGACTACACCGATAAGACTGCACTTATGGGGCACTGATGTGGACACTGATGAGGCTGCACTAATGGGGCACTGATAGATGGCCACATTGGCTGTCACACTGCCGGTTCCTGCTCCGAGGTGAGGCTGAGAGTCTCCCCGGAGTGGCAGGTGTCACTGAGCGCCACACAGAGGACACTTCCTGCCAGCTCTGCTCCTCCTCTGACCCGCCCCTCCTTCTACTGTACAGCCCCACATCTCCCCAAACCTGCCCTTCCCATTCAGGCCGCTCTCCACCCTCACAGTGCCACTCCTTCCTACCCCCCAGCCTCACATACCAGTGACACCTGCAGGCTGCCCGGCAATGTTGTCCCTGGCTGCACTCCCCTATGCTACACTACTGGGGCTGACAACAGCCCGGGCGCAGGCCGTATTTTCAAGTCGCCACGGCAACCTGGATTTGTCGAGCCCTGCACCAAAAAGGGACAATGCTATATTTTTGCTAGTCCACATTTATGTACATTTTGTTGCTAAGAAGTTCGTCCTCAAGTTCTACAGTTCCCTGGGCCTCCCATATACCCCTAGACCCCATCCAAGTTGTTAACTCCTTAATAAAAACAACTAAAAACCAGTTCAAGGACTGTTTTACTGACTCTGAGAGCACAAGTGTGGAAAATGTATGTTCCTGGTTGTGCAAAGCTTAGGGGGACCCAAAACAAATCCAGCGGCCCTTATGAGGGTATGTGGTACACTGAAATATCACATTGGCAAAAGTATTCAGACCCTTTGCAACAACACTTGAAATTTAGCTCAAGTGCTTCCCATTTTTCTTGATTGTTGCTGAGATGTTTCTACACCTTGATTGGAGTCCACCTGTAGAAAGTTAACTTGATTGGACATTATTTGGAAAGGCACACACTTCTCTATAAAAGGCCTCACAGCTGACAATGCATATTGTATCAGAACCAAAGTCATAGTCTGCCATAAAGCCCAGATTGGTGGAGGGCTGCAGTGATGGTTGCCCTTCTGGAACTTTGTCCCATCTCCACATAGGATCTCTGGAGCTCAGTCAGTGACTGGAAGAGTCCAGGTTGTGCCAAATGTCTTCTATTTAAGAATTATGGAGGCCACTGTGCTCTTGGGAACATTGGGGGAAAAGGTGATGGGGGTCTGAATACTTTCTGAATGCACTGTAATTATGACATGTTTTATATTTAATAAAAATAACATTTAGAATCACTTTAAAGCAGACAAGCAGAGGGCCATCTGATTCCTACTGTATGAAATTGTATTGTACCTGCACTGTCTGCTCTCATGTTGTAAAACGCTGTGCAAACTGTTGGCTGTATATAAATCCTGTAATAATAATAATATTATTATTAATACTAAACTTCAACTTTAAAACCAACAAGCTCGGACAGTAAACAGAGCAGCAACTGTCAGATCTCAGGGGGTCTGTCATCTGGGACTGTCAGCTCCAAGCAGGGGTGGACTAACCATTTGGAGACTCGGGCACTGCCCAAGGGCCTGGGGTCAGTAGGGGGCCCCATGAGATGCCCCTGGTACCTTTTTCATAGGCTTTTTTGAGTTTGGGCAAGGGCACAGGGGCCCCATGATCCCCTATTGCCCGGGGGCCCCATGAGTTGTCAGTCCGCCCCTGGCTCCAAGAGTTATCCTTAGACAAATTACGATATCTACAGTATATAAGGAGAATCAAAATCACAGTTACTTAAAGATTAGCACTTCCGCCTGGCAGTACTCGGGTCGTTGGTTCGAATCTCAACCCTGGCACCACCTGCCTGGAGTTTGCATGATCTCCCTGTGCTTGTGTGGGTTTCCTCTGGGTGCTCCAGTTTCCTCCCACACTCCAAAGACAAGCTGGTAGGTCAATTGGCTCCTGTCTTGTATGCCCTGTGAGGGTAATGGACTGATGTGAATGTACAATATATGTATGTAAAGCACTGCGTAAATTGACGGCGCTATATAAGTACCTGAAATAAATAATAAAATAAATCTTGTGAGCATGTAAAATAAATTATAACACATATATATATATATATATATATATATATATATATATATACACATTATATTGCCAAAAGTATTGGGCCAGTCCTCCAAATCATTGGATTCAGGTGTTCCAATCATCTCCATGGTGTATAAAATCAGAGTGCAACTGCAAAAATCGGTATCAGTTGTATTAAAACACACTGACCATCCAAGAAGCAAGATGGCCACCGGACCTTCACGAGGCTCCAGCGGCATGACGTCACGGCGTATGGCTCCTCCTTGGCGTGTTTCGTGCCAAGCACTTCATCAAAAGGGGCACACCTGATTTTTACACTGCTTTTAAACCTGAATTACCCGTGTGGATGGCTACATATTTATTTACTTAATAAAATACTTTCAACTACTACACTATGGGCAACATTTTTCTTGGCTCCACATCGAGCTAAATAATTTACAGAGCCCAGTGTGGAGGACAGCTGCAGAGCAGCTCAGGATCCAGAGGAGGGAGATTCCTGTCCAGGCTACATCATCCATTCCACTTTAAAGGGGACCTCTGGTTGAACACACCATACACATATATGCGTATTTAAAATACGCATTTGGTGAGTGTGTATTTTTACTATATCCCTGGCAAATCACCGAATAGTTCTTTGGCACATGGAATATCCTCTGGAACTCCCTACCCCAATCCATAAGACTGTCACCTACCCTCCTCACCTTCAGGCGCACCCTGAAAACCCTCCTCTTCAGGGAAGCCTACCCCAACCTCATCTAACACCCGACCTCACCTAACAACTAACCTCCTCCACTCCACCCACCACTCCATCCCCCACAGCTATCTCCTCCTGTGCCACCTTCCCCTCCCTCCTAGATTGTAAGCTCGATAGAGCAGGGCCCTCAAACCCCTCGTGTATTGTATTGTTACTGTCTTGTCTCATGTTATGTCCCCCCTGCTACTGTACAGCGCTGAGCATACCCTTTGGCGCTATATAAATACTGTATAATAATAATATGATTTATGATCACTTGAATGCAGATCTTCACTCAATGTCACAGTTTTATGAACATTAATTCGTTTACTCACTTCCACAAGGACTATTTGTTCATTTCTGAAGCACTTTGTTCATATTACTACTACACTTATTCTTTCACTTATTTAAGTTTGATTTTGAGTTTAGCACATTTATTTATGTGAGCACTTGATTTATTTTATGCCTATTTTTATGATCATTGGTTTTTTCAGCGCTGCACGTTACTTTTTCTATATGAATTAGAGCAGACTGCAAGCCAGGCCTTCTTGTCCAACATCAGTGCCTGACCTCACAAACACGCTTCTGGAAGAATGGTCCAACCTTCCCATAGACACCCTCCTAAACCTTGTGGACGGCCTTCCCAGAAGAGTTGAAGCTGTTATAGCTGCAAAGAGCGGGGCCAACTCAATATTGAACCCTACGGACTAAGACTGGGATGCCATTAAAGGTCATGTACGTGTAAATGCAGGCGGCCCAATACTTTTGGCAATATAGTGTATAATATATAATTATAAGGGGTGTTCAAGTCAAACCGGGACTTTTAATTTTACAGGTATACAATAGGATGCTAGCATGGCGGCACTACATGCAGTAGTAAGTGGCAAGTGTGTCCTGTTAATGATAGGCGGCGCATATGTCACAGGCCAGACCAGAGATTGTTAATCAACATGGCAGATTACAGTGTTAGTACATGCATGGAACAACATGCAGTGATGAAGTTTCTTGTGAACGAAGGTGTAAAACCCGTGAATATCTACAGAAGACTTCCATGCACAGTGCGGTGATGAGCCACAGTAAGACATTTGAATGATGTAAAAGTTTCCAAGATGGCCGTACATCCTTCAGTGATGTACGATGGTTCCCAGCCTACAGCATTCCTGTGAACATTAAGCGCGTGGAACGCCTGATCCTGGATAACCAACGCATAAGCTGTCGTGAAATTGCACAAGCGACAAAACTTTCTGTGTGAACTATGACCCAACGATGACGAAGTGAACCAGCCTGTCCTGCGATGGTTCAGGCGTACTGACAAATCTTTGTATGCCGAAGCTTTCCAGGCATTAGTTATACACTGGGATAAGTCTATAAATGTAGCAGGGGAGTATGTAGAAAAATAATCGCAGTTTCCACTTTTTGAAATTTGTTTTTTTATTATATACGTAAACTTAAAAGTCCCAGTTTGACTTGAAAGCCCCTCATTTTATCATATTTCTATAATTATATAAAATATACAGTATTTAGAATTGGACTAGATTCTTATTTCAAGATCAATTACAACAGGCTCTCCTTGAAACACTAGAACGATGCCATTTGTAAATTCCTGGTAAATATTACTGTAACCTTCTCTTGTATGTGATATTCAAATCAAAGGCTGATTAGGGTGCAGGGCTTACCATAATTATCTGAATGAAACCCATCTTCATTCACAGCTCCAGCTGCTGGGACTGGGAGCACATCCCGGAAATGAAGAGATATATTTGCAAAAGCAGACAATTCGGGCCAATTTGTGTGCCTAGATTTGTCCTCATTTACCAACCGTGCACAGGATGGGTCTCTGCTATTCGTGAGAGGTATAATAGCTAGTGACGGAGGAAACAATGAGGATTGGCAAAGTAAATATATGAGGAATTTGGCTGAAATTCTGAACTGCATTGAATGGTAAACATTAACTCGTATGATTGAAGAGCGGTTAAGCACGGTGGGTAATCCATTAAATTCAATGATTCACCATTTCAAAATGGTGACTTTTAAATGCAAATTGGTGTTGGAGAATGTAAGATTGGCCACACTATAATGCAGTGAATAATGCTGACATCCTTATTTAAAGCCCATGTAAAGCCAAGACTCTTTTTGTTTGTTTTTTTTTTTGTAGTATGGAAAGGTTATGTAGCACTACCCCTTCAGGGGTCGCTGTGTGATTTTCTGGTTCCTTGTCTTTCTTGACCCCGTTCTAGAAGCCCAACCCCTGCTGACACCACCCCAAGCCCCTGTCCAGGAAAAATCCTCTAGCTGTACCCATAAAATAGCCTCACACAGTTTAGAGTGAACTGACGCTTTGATTTTTTTGAGATCAAATGTAAGCACAATAAAGCAAAAGGAAAATATCTGCATAAGATAACAGCTGTCACTAGTAACTTCAAGTAGGGGGCCACAACACAACACAGCATCTCAATTAGCTCTAGACTTCCTGCAATTCAGAATTTAAACAATAGCCCCAGTACTGAGATATTTTCTCCCCAGTGAGTAAAAAAAAAACCTACCAAACAAAGAGGCTAACTCACTCTGGGCTCTCAGTGGCTGAGAGTCTAATTCTAAGAAAAGTAGAGCTGTTCCATTAACTAAGCCAATGTCCCTTTAAACTGCAGTGTCAGATCTTCAGAGCGCTCGATAGGGCCCTAGTTGGTGACCATAAGGATTCAAATCTTTCTTGAGGCAAAGGTAGAAGTTCCTTAATAAAGGGTGAACACAAAGGAAGGGAGCTGCCCCTTTAAGTGATATTGAGTTTGTATGGTACCCCTTTGACACACACAGGGTGAGGTGTAGAATGTGGAAGAAATTAAAAATGGGCAGGAACACACTTCTGTAGGAATTAGTCCATCCTTGGACCACAGTGGCAAATTACAACAATGAAGGAGCTCCTTGGTGAATGGGGCAGACTGTGGAGGACAGATAGCGCAGTAGACCCTTGTGATTGGATGTGCTGGAACTGTAAAAATGGTAAGCCGAACACCTTGGGCCTTAGCACGTGTAACTTGAGGAACAATGGTAGTCAAGCTGAGTAGAAAGTAACTGACTGGATTTGGTAATGTCATGTGCAACTTAGATGGCTTTAGTATGGAATTCTCTCACCCGATCTGTGGCCTCGGTCAGCTGGCGTATGGTCTCTTTGTAGACAGGGGCCCCTGTTTCCTCATGGTTTCTCCTTCAGAGATCACTCTGGACTGCAACACTCCCTGCTCGCAATGATGGGACACTATTCCTCCCACTAATATCAATGATGGGGCACTATTTTCTCCAACTATTCCTCCCAATGATGGGGCACTATTCCTCCAACTAATACCAACAATACCAACAATGGGGCACTATTTCTCCACTAATATTAACAATGGGGCACTATTCCTCCAACTAATACCAATGATGGGGGACTATTCCTCCCGCTAATACCAATGATGAGGGACTATTCCTCCAACTAATACCAATGATGAGGGACTATTCCTCCCGCTAATACCAATGATGGGGGACTATTCCTCCCACTAATACCAATGATAGGGCACTATTCCTCCCACTGATACCAATGATGGGGGACTATTCCTCCCGCTAATACAATGATGGGGGACTATTCCTCCCGCTAATACTAATGATGGGGGACTATTTCTCCTGCTAATACCAATGATGGGGGACTATTTCTCCTGCTAATACCAATGATGGGGGACTATTCCTCCCAC